TGAGCCTTGTTAGTGGTATAAACTAGCGATTTCTTTTTACTTAGTCAATGCCCCCAGTACTAGCATTATACGCTAAACAGTTTTTAGAGATAAAACTCTTTAAATTCGATTATCATGAAAACAAATCTCAGAGAACGGTTGACTATGTACTGATGTTTTATTAGACCAAAGGTTCATTGTTCGCCGGAGTTCTCCTTTAAATACAATTTTAAGAGAATAATACATTAAACACATTTTTTTTTTCAAAATAGTAATAAAAAAATAAATAAAAATTAGAGTGGTGTTCAGCTTATAAAGTCAATAAATTGTCAAAGAACAGACGCAATACTAATTTTCAAGCTTTTTTTAATACATGTCAAAGGTAGTGGGTACAAGCTGCTTTTGATGAAATGGTTAACTGTAACTCCATTAGTACATGGCACTAGCAACACCAAAGTCATGAAATTAAATGACTTGTTCAGACAAATTTATAAATGAATGCAATATTTTATCATAATATCTGTAATGCTGGGGCAGAGGCGTTGAGATCCATTTGCAGAGTTTTATTTAAACATGCAATGAAGCAGTGATAGACAGACATAAACTGTGCTCGTAACAGGGCAATCCGGAATCATAAACTTCCTACAAGCAAGGGTCAAGGCAGACAGCAAGGTTCACAGAAACGAGGATCCAGGCAGAGATCAGAGTACCAGAAAATCACAATAAACCGGAATAAACGCTCGGTAATGGTAGCAGATAGAATAAAGACTTCGCAAAGTCACAATGACAAACACAGTCCTTATAAAGGGGCAATAATGGGGAACAGGTGATGCAGATGGGGCTAATCAGATGAACTAGGCAGGTGTTAATCCAAGGGAGAGATGGGAAATGCAGTTCCTTAATAATCTGGAGAGAGGGAACGGATGAAGCCAGAGGGAGGCGCAGCCGAGCTCTCTGTCACAATATCATTACCAGTTGATATGAAAGAGTTCTTAGTTTATCTGCATATTATTGGTTAATTAATTGTTTATGCATACGTTTACATAATATAACGCTCACTTTAAGTTAACCCTTAAAAACACTAAGAGTTAAATGTATTTTTTAGCAAATTTTAACATTTACCCATTTTTCATAGTACATTATAATGTTGTGATGGATAAACTCATTTGTAGCATATTTATTTGTTTTTAGCATGTTCATTTTAATCTAATCTGACAAAATATAGAATATAAAGCAGCTGTAACATTTAAAAAAAGAAAAAAAATTACCAGAAATTCAAATATAAGTAAATGAAATAAACTGATGTGGAGAAACAAGATGTCTGTCTATTGAACATGCACCACACATTTCCATTTATAGACAGATTTGTGATTAACGTGTTTTTTGTACACTGTAAAAAAATATTTTCAAGATTTGTTATCACAACATATTTTCTTTTGTCAAATCAACTTTATAATAATTTATTTAGTTGAGATAACTTATTATTTTTAGTTTAGTTTCTGATGGTTAAATTAATCTCCATTGTATTAACTCACTTTTTCCAGTTCAATGAACTTAAAATTTTAAGGCAACCAGGTTACTTAGTTTTTGTTTTGCATTAGACTTGCCAGGCTGATTTGTTGTTATACAAACTTATTCTGGTTTCCCTTTAGAGACCAGAAAGTTATAAGCTTCTGCTCTAGTTTTCAGTAGCTGTCCATGGTTCTGAATTATTCAGAACTCTCCATTCTGAAGAATAGGACAGATTGAAGACAACACTATTAATTCTGCATAGTTATGTGTAAAAATTATTCCACTTGAAGCTATCGGTAACACTTTATTTGAAGGGGTGTGCATAAGACTGACATGACACTGTCATAAACATGACATTACACCTGTCATGAACATGAAGGAGTCTTTATAAATGTTTATGACTGTTGTCAGTATGACACTTTCAATGCAAAGTTGACATTGTTTAAAATGTCTTTGCTACGACAACTTGACATTAAAAAAGACAAAAATGTCTTTATGACAACTTGACATTAACCAAGAAATCATAACCTGTCAACCTGACATCTTTATAACTAGTCCAACGTGTTCCACTTTACTTGAGGTAAGGGGAAATATTAATGACACTGTTGTTAAAGCATTAGACAGTGTAATAACCCTTAATGACATCTTTATAACAAGTACAATGTGTTCCACTTTATTTGAGGACAAGTAAAATATTCATGACACAGTTATAATGTTGTCATAATGGCCAAAGTCAAAACCAACCACATATGACAGGGTAATGTATTGTTAACACAAATCTAAATAACTTCTTTAAGTTTGATAATTAGATCTTTTATGACATATTTGTGACAGGTTGACAGGTTATATTTTCTTGGTTAATGTCAAGTTGTCATAACAAAGACATTTTAAACAATGTCAACTTTGCATTAAAAGTGTTATAATTTACCGAATGACACTTAATGACAACAGTCATAAACATTCATAAAGACTCCTTCATGTTCATTATGACAGTGTCATGTCAGTCATATGCACACCCCTTCAAATAAAGTGTTACCAAGCTATCCATGTCGTGTGTCTTTCAAAACGTTTCTGTTTTTGCATTTTTTTTTCCCAAAGTCCATGACAAACAAAATTACACATTTACCTTTATACAACAGGAGACAAAAGTGGCTCAATACTCCAGCATAACAAGACAGCTGCATTATGAAACACCCCCAACACTTCACAAACATGACCAGAAATTACATCAGTCTGACTCTGAATACTTTTGTCCACACATATTAGCCTTCAAAACTCGGCCGGCAAATGCCAAAATCTATTCCACTCTGTTAAACTCTCTCCTAAATTGCTAAAGTGTCAATGGGTCATCCATCAATGAAAGTCCTTTCAGCACAAATCCTCGGACACGTTCTCTTTGGTCACATACTTTCACCTTGACTCTCTTACAATCTCAGACTGGGGCATAATGTTCTCACACAATGGATTGAGAGAGGAAGACAAAGGCCTTTCTGGTCTGCTATGGAAGCTGTGCGTGCATTTGTCTGGGGATTGAGGGTATCGATTTGTAGAGGGGTTATCTTGAGGCGAGGATGTGCTGGTGGTATAGTAGCTGCATATGGTGCTTTTCAGCAGACAAAGAAAGGAAGTTAGGCTTTGATTTATGGGTCTCATTGGCTAGTGGGTGTCTCTGGTGACAATGTCGGTATACAAGGATGAATGCACAAACATGCATGTGTGCGCACACACACAGACATAGACATTATTGCTTGTCTCTCGCTCTGTAAAGCTCATTGCACATGTTTTATGTACAAATTATATCTCCATTCGCAAGAAATTCACATTTCTGCAAACAAACAAACAGATTCCTCACACTCTCAAAAGCCTTTTTGCAATGGTGTGGCAAAAAAGCACACCAAAAAAGCATTGAGTCTGATTAGATAACCATAATTCAAAAGGACCGCATTGTCCCTATAGAGCTGTTCTCTTTGCATGGCTGCTTCTGTAATGATGCATAATGATACATCCACATTATTGCAGATGTAGATTATATGGTCAGAATGAAGGCTGTTTGTGTGCGCTTTTGCTCAACTTGTGCTGTTACTACAAAACCTCAAAGCAGTGTTTTCAGCATGTTTTGCAATCATTCAGTGGGATCCATATAAAAAATGTTGTGCACTTCACTTTCCCTAATTGCCCATGGCATGCTGGGTCTGTTTAAACAAAACCCCATCACATTAGCTTCACACTGCTCAGTATATGTGAGAGATTAGGACCTTTCGCACTGCTCTGTGATCAGCACTAACCACCCAAACATGGCCAACACTACTACGAGAGGTGCTGCAAAACCGAACTGGAATCAGAAGAGGGCAGTTCCTTCCGCCTTGGATGGATTACAGCTTTACCAGAAGAGGGAAGGAAGGAAAGGTTAAGCCACTGCTGGTTGCCAGATTCAACACCTTTCTTTTTGCAGTGTTCATGTGCGCCTCACGCAGAGGGTCTGGCCCTTTATATTAGAGCACAGTGTCAACAGGACCCAGAGGGAAAACAGCAGCACATCAATCGTTGAGAACAGTAAGTTATTTTACCTAACAATATTAACTAAACTAATATTTGATTTATTAAACCATGTGTTTGATGAAACATGCTTGTTCTAATTTATTAGTTTGAAGACATATTTTTGCAGATAGATAGATAGATAGATAGATAGATAGATAGATAGATAGATAGATAAATAGATAGATAGATAGATAGATAGATAGATAGATAGATAGATAGATAGATAGATAGATAGATAGATAGATAGATAGATAGATAGATAGATAGATAGATAGATAGATAGATAGATAGATAGATAGATAGATAGATAGATAGATAGATAGATAGATAGTGTCCTATGGGCTCAAATTACTTTCTGTAGCTTTGAATATTTTGAATGTCATGACTAACCGAGTCATTCATGCAATCTTAAGCTTTTGCTCTCGAAGCTGATAACATCTGCTTGCAGTCAGCAGTGGACTTGTCCAGGTTAACCTCAAGTTCTGTGTGATATTTGAAATGTGCCTAAGAACAGAGTGCATTATATATATACTGCCTAAACTGCTTGTCTTGGTTTAAGCTGGTCTTCCAAGGGGTCTGAAACCATCTAAAACCAGCCAGCAGACCTGACAAGGATGGGAGACGAGAAATGTTACTGAATTTTTTTTAAATGCTATTTTCTCAGTCTGTAATCTACGAGAACATGTTTGTTTTATTAAAAAAAATATTTCAGCATTTGTTATATCTGCGCAATAGCCGAAACAATAGCATTCTTTGGTCCATCTTTGCGATGCAAATAGGCGAGGTTTGAGCATTTCCCCGAGCGCGAGCAGCAATGCAGTCCAATCAATTACGTTTAATTCAATTCACTTAAACTTCCAGCGCGCTGCGAAAGAGAAGCATTTATTGATAATGAATTCAGAGCGCTCCTCCTCCTCTCGTACTCCCGTTCGCCGCTGCGCATTAAGAGACAGCTGGCGATGAGAGGAATATCCCTCTACTCTCATCTGTCACCTCACTTGTGTTTTCCTCAAGCACTGCGGACAGAAAACGCTGTGCGCGGAGCTTTATAAGACACGGCACGAGGAGGATGCGGACCGCCGGGGTTTGGCCAGCGACCGTCACTCTCCTGGTCCCCTGGGACTGAATTTCGGTCAAAAATATTGAATGGGCGTTTGTATCCCCGTCTCCGCTGATTTCCGTGGATACCTGCTCGGATATTGTGTGACAAGGCTTCAGGATGAAGAGGATGAACGTAAGCACTTCAAGTGTGTTACTGTGCAAGCATGCTGCCTGCGTTCTATTTGTGTTGAAGCGCGGCTGCTGAGTTTATTTTGTTTGGAATTGGCTTTACTGTGCGATCAACGCGCAACTTTATGGTCTTCTTGTGCGTTTTAGGTGTAATGTTAAGGCATGAAACGTGACTAAGACAAATCGATCTTCAACTCTTTTAAGATTCGCGGTTTGCTGGACATTTATCGATTGTTCGTTCCAGATTTGTGCGGAGATGCAGTTCGTGACCGGGTGCGTTTACGCGTTTTTTTTCTCTGGCTACATCATTAACGCTGAAAATCATTATAAAGTGAGAAAGTAGGCTATGCTCTAGTGTGCCTTCTTACAAAGGCAATTGCAGGCATTGCTCAAGCATAAGTAATTTACAATTAATTAGAAATGGGAATCGATTCTGGATACGATTCTGATTCCTTTCAACGATTCAGTTTCCTTAACGGTTTTAATAGCAACTCCTATTAGGCTAATAAAGAAAAATCCAATTTTTAATTGCATTCATCAGCTGCATTTCTATAATAAATATAGTTAATTTAGGAATTTCAAAGAAAGTTTACACATTGGCTACTTTTCATTTGCCTTTTATCAAATAATTGGCCCCAAGTAAAATACAAGTAGGCTAACTAAGTAAAAATACAAATACCATTCATTCATTCATTCATTCATTCATTCATTCATTCATTCATTCACATGCACACAGCTAACAAATAATGTGTAGGCTATCTTTAAAAAAACCCATAATGTGTATCTTTAAATAAAATAAGTAGCCTCATTTGGGGGGATTTCTTTCAACTTGACAGCGTTTTAAAAACGAGCTGGAAAAGATAAAAGCACATATCAATCAAGCGTTTTGACTACAACGCCCACGCTATATGGTCAAAGAATTCCGATGGGTCACAGCTAGAATTTTGTGTAAATCCGGCTTATTTGTTCGAGAATCGCATTACACTGACCGCTGTGTTTTGTCCACGTTCACACAGCTACAGATAAGGTTGTAAATCGTTAAGAGAATGGTAATACTCTTACTTTTACACACCCGTAAGGTGATTAACAACAATGACAAACTCATTTTAATACCAAACTGACTCCCTTACTGACATTCAAGTAAACTTGTGCGGAACCGTACTGGACAAACTTGCCTGTCACTTCATTCAAGGCTTCAATTTAAGGGTATTTACTCATTTATTAAATAAGGTTGTTTAATATTGTTAAACTATTTAGCCTACGTATGTGTTATGGGCAATCTTGCACAACATGGATTATTTAAAAGATTAAAACACAGAAAATCTTACAAGCCATAGAAAAGAATGAAAGAATAGAAAAGTAGAATAGAAAGAACCTTTCTCAACATTTAAGAAATGAATCCAATCTAGGTGCCAGTTCATCTGTCAAATCTAGTATTCTGTTCCGAATTGAATTCAGCCACTGTCACTATGGTTACGAAAATAGATTAGAAAATAGACAGTATTTGTTTATACAGTCACACCCATTAATACATATTATTAATCCCAAACACTTGACTGTGTGAATGTATTTTGTTTATTAATTAAAACAAAGCAGCTCATAAGACTCACTGTTTTGGGAGTCTGGCCATACTTTATATTTTTAATAAACCTAAAAGAACTGTATCAAGAGTAATTTTTACAGGAGTCGTACTACACTGGTCTCTGCAACTTTTGTGTTGTAAATTCAAATGGAACTGCCTCTGAATATAAACTAGTGCTTGATTGTCAAGGTGTGATCATGTTTACCACAGTTCAGCCGATGACTGTTACCACTGTTCAGAAAAACGAGTGGGAAAACCCACTCATTTTAATAGGAATCCACACGATCAGGGAATTAATGTGAGGCTCAAAGATTTCTCCACACTGATTTTTTCTTTACTCAAATTCATCACAATGACAACAGAAATTTGCTCGGGTTGAAAGTGGAAACTGTACTTTATGATTCATTACACCATTGGCAATAGTGGACCTTTTTTGCTTGTGAAATTTAGTTAAATTTACTACATCCTCAGTCTTGAAGAGATTCCTCTAAATTGGTGGTGATGGCGCGGTGGAATAGACACATGGCTTTGGTGTGAGAGACCCGGGTTCGAATCCACTGTGAGACACCAATGTGTCCCTGAGCAAGACACTAACCCCTAGTTGCTCCAGAGGCATGCAACCTCTGACATATATAGCAATTGAAAGTCGCTTTGGATAAAAGTGTCAGCTAAAATGTAAATGTAAATGGTGTACATAGCAACCATCCATCCATTCCAGTCCCGGATTTCTAAAGTTGTTAAATTCTGTCTGCAGCCTCGCTGGAAGTCGCCACCCATGTGGCCGTCCGTAGTGGGCAGCAGACAGCCCTGTCCCCGTGAATCTGCTCTGCGTAAGGCAGCCATTAGTGGGAACGTCCTTGCACTCCCACCGTTCCATGTACCCACGGGCAGGAGTGTCCGGGTCTTCATCTGTGCCAACCCTGATGGTAAGTAGCTTTTTCTCTTACTGTAAATGTGAAAAAATATATACACTTTGGGTTCTTCATAGTGCCACCTTCAAAGAAGTCATTTGAAGATAGCCTACATCAAATATCCGTTCCTAATAATGAGCTTACTGGAGGAACCGTTTATGGTCTTTAGAGTTCTCAATTTTGCAAATTCCCCAGAGAACTACCTTTAAAATTGGGCCTAGAGGTTCTCCAGAACGTTCTGCCAATGTGATGACAAGGCACCATTTTGGAGTTCCTAAGATCAAATATATTGGTTTCACTTTATTTGGATGGTCCCTTTAACACATTCAGTTGACTATAAGTAACGTTGCACCTACATCTCAACTCTCACTAAAGTATTAGTAGACTGGTAGGGTTAGGGATAGAATAAGTTGACATGTAGTTGCAAAGTTACTTATAGTCACTAGAATGATAGTTGGAGGAGCATCACAATAAAGAGTTGGCAGATATCCGCAGATAGTCTACTAATACTCTAATGAGAGGTAGCTGCAAGGTTACTTATAGTCAACATAATGTTCAAAAGGGACTAAAGTTATCTTTAATTTTGAAATAGTTTAGACTATTCATGATAGGTGCATGAATATGTGTGTGAGAACTTGAGAGTCACCAAGGACCATACTGACGGCAGTGCACAAACACACTGTTCTGTCAAGCAGACTGACACCTGTTAATGTGCGAGCGATGTGCAAGACGTGATTTATCATCCAATGTGTTAATGAAAAAGATTTTTACAGTAATGAATTCAGATGGCAATGGCAGTTCCACATCATGCCGTTTCATAACACATGCTGCCATCCTCAGAGATATGGTCATTGCTAATGTCTGCAGGACCGTTGTCCCATGTGCTTTGACAAGAGCAGCAGTGACAGCAGTTAGTGGAGCCGTCTGTCTCAGCACTGAACACGGGTTTCAACAATCCACAAAAACACTGGCCAAGCAACCGTGACACAAAATACTGTGCTGCTTTACAGTCATACACTCTCTAATATTAATATATGGGAGCTCTCAGTCTTCAGTTTGCTCGTGGCTGTGTGAAAGTGGTTAACAGAGTGGGGATTTCTTACTCCTGTCCTGGTCATCATTTCCACCATCAATTGCTCATTTTTACATCTTAAGGCTTAAACCCAGGGCTACTTAGAACTGACCTCAGATTTAATGAGTGCCAGGGGAACTAGGCGGCACATATAGTATGCAGTCATAGATTTAAATATGGGCTGCAGGGAGACCTTAAAATAGTACTTCTAATCTAGGAGTAAACAAGCCAAGGGAAAGTATAAAATGGGTTAGGAGGGAGATAGAGAAAGAGGAATGGAGAAATGAGCGCAGATAGGTGAGGATGAAGTGAAAGGAGGGAAGATACTGGTGAATAAATTAGATCAGAGCAAGGACGTCTTAAATAAAATGATGACCTTTCAAGCCGAAGGATACACGATAAAGACTCCTCTGAATCGAAGCTATAACATAGGCGACCTCGTCATATTATACCAGCAGATGCACTCATTCCTGATGTGGTCACATGCATTATTCCTAAATAATGATAATAATAATAATAAAAAAAACAGGTCATTATTTACTGGTAATTAATAATATCCAATATAATAACTACTGTGTACTTGGCATTTGCTACAATATACTTGTTTACCAAATACATGTTTACCTCTTTAACCTTTAACCAACTCTAAAATACATAACTCGGAATATAGAACATAGTTACACAGTTTATCCATGTTAAGGCCCACTAATATAAAGTGTGACCAAATTAATGTATTATTATTTAAAAAAAAACAAAAAAACATTGTAATTATTTTTATAATTATTTTAGTTTATAAGGAGGAAGTTGTCAAGTTAAATACTTTCTCATATATCCTAATTTAATTTGAAGAGACAATAAGTTATAAATAAGTTATAAATAAGTTATAAACATATTAATTATAAATAAGTTACTCATTCAGTACATTGATTTTCCTGAAAGGTGTAAACACTGGCTCTGTTGTGCTGTCAAAACACTGTTCAGTTTGTTTGAGTAGCCTGACCAGCTGATATACAGCATCATTGGCTCAACCAATGTTTGAGTTTGGGGCAGGAATATGTTTGTTTGACCAGTAGAAGACAGATGGAGTTTTCGGACAACCTGCTTTGAAATCGTTGTTGTTTTGTGGAGTTTTATTTTTCATTTAATTAATTAAATAGCTTTCAAAATGAAATAGTTTCCACATTCAAACACCATGCTGAAAACACACTTTGTGCTGTGCAACTTGGTCTTAGGGCCAATCCCAATTCTACCCCTTACCCATTCCCTTTCCCCTAGCCCTACCCCTTCGCCTTCCCCTTGACCCTTGAAACAGAGTGGCAATGCGTAGGGGTGAAAATATTCCCCTAAAAAATGGGACACCACTACGCCTCCGTTAAACGTCATTATAAGTCGTCGCTAGCGCCTACGTCACAGGAGATGCGCCGATGTTTATCACAACTTCCAAGATCCCGTCGACAGCTGCAGTTATCTCAGTTGCATGGGTTACAGCTATTTTCTTGCATCTTGTGAAGTTCGCAGGAAACAACGGAGACGACGAAAATATGTTGCGGGACTATCGTTAGCAAACTACAGTCATTTTAGCGATTTTTTTTTTTTTTTTTACAAACGTTTCTGTGAAGAAACTGACCGTAAATATGAACACAATATTGAGTGTAACATAAAGCAAATCATTATTTGTCGTTACAATACTTATTAAAGCCACAAATACTTAAATTTACGGGTCTCCTTTGTCGCTTGGGCAGCCAGCCCTGGGTTAGCAGTGACACTTCTCATACCCCTTCGTTTGAAGTGTGCTCCCGAAAAATCTTCGTTTGAAGGGCTATCTGGCCCTTCACCCTAGCCCTCCCCCTCCAACCAAAAGAGAATTGGGACAGCCCTACCCCTTCACGTGGACGCGCAAAACGGAGGGGAAGGGGAAAGTGAAGGGGTACGGGGTAGAATTGGGATTGGCCCTGACACTGGAATATTGGAAATAGAGTGAGTCTGAAGCCAATGTTCTACTCCTGAAATATGAGATTAGAGAAATTTTGTTCTGGTCAAAAGCAGTCAAAAACCCTGGAAAGGCAACTGCTTGAAAATGGTTTAGAGAGAGGCAAAGGTGACGGTGTGTGTGCTGACTGAGAGAGTGTGAGGTGGAGTGCAGAATCTAATGTACTGAACCTTTAGATGCACAACTTAGAGGTGATGTCAAGGTAGAGAGTTAATGACACTTTGAGTGGCTGAACAAGCCAGCTGGGCTTTGGTGCAATGCTCTTCCCCCTGAAGCACTAGAGGGAGCAATTTAGACATCACATATTTTACAAAAAGGGAGTTGGCCTTGCACACACAGTCTCATAACAACTGTTATGTCGTACTATTCTCACTCTTATACATCCCTTGACATGAGAGGAGTGATTTCAATTTGGTTAGAGCTATTGGATAAGTCAGCTCTGTGATTTAGGGGGTCTACTAGGGGCAGTTAGGACAGCAGTTGCTGGAGTCTTGCTGAGGTTGAGATTGAGGCTTTGAGGAAATGAATGTGATAACATTATATGCTCGTTTTTATTGTTGTTGTTGTTTGTCTCTTAGTAGGGTAACCAAGGGCAACTAGAGTTTTATGTGCAGGAGTTTTATTCTGCTTTAAGGACCTTGAATTTAATGTGTTATAACAGCATGAGAGGTGTTAGGTGTTAGATTTATTATGGTGCATTCAGATTGTATTCAATGCTGGGTTAAATGGGTTAAATCAACACAGGCTTATTGGAAAAACACAAAATACGTACCAATACAAATATAGTGCTGCGCAAAACGAAAAATACGTACCTGTACCAATACATTCCAACATACGGCTGCAGTTTCCAAAAGAAATGAAGAGCAAGCTCGTTTTATTCTTTTCATACAAAATTATGATTATGGGCTAATATGTGTTTGTTAAGACTTATTTTCAAGCAGCTCCTTGCAAAATATTACATTAGGATTGTGCATGATTTGTCAACGAATTCTCTGGTGATTGCATCACTTGACCAGCTCCATATGTTTGGCTTTTCTGACATATTAAGCTTGCTCGGTTGCTCAGCTGGTACAGAATTGTTCTTCTGATGTGAAGAACTTGGCTACGAATCCCGTGAAACATGAGTTACGGCAGAAGAGCTCAAAGGGCATGGTTGCTTCAGCAATTGCGTTTTTATGTCACATTTATTGAATTCTTTTAAAGGTGCATAGTTCAGTTCAAATTTCAGATGTTTTACGCATAAAGAAATAATCCTCTGAATGGTGTACTGTCACTTTAAATAAAGACTGTAGTTAGTAGTTTTCTAGAAAATGGGTTTCAAACATGTAAAGTGTGGGTCACCCCCTCAATGCTTGTCAAACGTCAACTTTCACACGTTTCACACTCATTTGCTGCAGTCGCTGTAGATACGCTAGTTGTGTAGAGTTGTTTGGTGATCTAAGAGCTAAAATTAGAAAATGGACCACACTTATTATCATCCTTTACCAGTCAAGACAATAGGAAAATCAGTTCTTGTACAGCCTAAGAAGCAGAAAAGGTCTCAAGACAAAGCACAAGCATAGACATTTATACGGCATACACAAGATTGCCAATAAAGTTGCCATTTTTTGTTGGTTCGGTAAGGTAATTATTGTGTAAACTGCTCTATAAATGTACTAGTATAAATGTACTAGTATTAGTTTAATTTACATAAAACTCAGAGACAATCATATTGATTCCACATCAGTAGATGGCACTACAGTATCTTACACTGTTGTGTTATCTTCCATTTGAAGTACACAAATAACAGCAATGTTAGCGCTAGCAAAATTGCGCTAACTACTGAATGGACTTTTACAACTGTAAGAAGGGTTATTAGAGACATAAGCCAGTTAGCATTGTCATGACTTCATTTTCAAAGACTCAAAATTGATTTGTCACAGCTCAAGTGACTGGCTCAAAAACATCTCCCAT